ATATATACTTAATATATTAAACAATAATAATTCAGAGTACTTATTTTCTTTACTTCTTAAAAAAAGCGGAGAAGTTTATTATTTTTTTTTGCTCAGAATTATTCTTGTTAATTTAATATAGTCTATAAAGGAAAAATGCATATTTAAGTTCGGAAACGAAGCATTACTAAAATTTACAATATAAGAAATTTATAATTTACACTTGCAACGCATTAACTTAAATCAATTATCGACGCAAAAAGTTTGTATTAGTATTTTAATTCCATTTAGTATTGTGTTATACGTACAATTGATCAATAAAAAATTGGAAAATATATTAGTACATGTACATCTACATATTGATACACAATACATAGATATATATTTTTCTCCATATCTCTGTCACATCTTTGGCATTACCATTAAGTATAAAGAAATATCGATATAACAGATGTTTCGTTGAGAATTTACTGATCATTATTTTCTAGTATCTTCGAACGTCTTTGGTTTCTCATTCGTCTGCGTTTGATTCTTGCCCAATGACCTCCCGTAGATGACATAATCGTCAGATTCTGGATCGTAACCGTATGGCCGTAACGACTCGAACTCATTGCGGCGACCATAACCGTCGCTATAGGGTCCTGAGTAATAATCAAAAGACGGATGTTGGTAGCCGCCGTTACCGTACGGTCTTCGATTACCGTAATAATTCGATGTCGGTGCGAAACCATTCGGTCTGTACTTGTACGGTGCGCCCTAGAAATTATTACTTTAAGATCAATACGAAAATCAATAGAAAACTTATGAATTACGTAAATATGATGGGACTTGAACTGTGAAAATTAATAAAGTAGCAATATTTTTCTTTAATTTTTCCGAGATAATATTTCAGAAAATAGAATTTCAAATATATGAGCACGTTAAATAATTTGGAAACGGATGAATAGATGTAAATTCTTTTTGTTACAGGATAATATGGGTAATGATGCCCTTCAGACAATCCGGGGAATCTTTTGCTGTTGAAACAACAGTACTTCTTCTCATTTGCGCAATGGCCCTAAAATCAACATTATGCAAATTTTGTCAAATTTTTCGGAATTATAAATTTTCGAGTAACAAACTTTCAATCGGACTCACGAATTTCAATCCGGGTGATGGACAATTAAAACTGTATCTGCATTTACAAGTATCGAACTCACGATAACGGGGATCATCTCTGATCCATGGTGGTACTGAATCCAAAATACCATCGGGTCCATTCGGTTCGAAACGAGCAGGTCTGAAATAGCAATAATGTCCCTACATTTTTTTACATTTAAAACAGATATTTAATACAACATTTACTTTATGCAAAATAAAATTTTAATTAGCAAGATCGTAAAAGGTTTTGGCATAATTTGTCGCATAATTCACGACAATTTGTGAAGTAATTCAATAATGGAATTTTATAGATAAACATATACATAAATCTAACGCAATTTATGAAAAATATATATGTTATTTATCAGTTAGTAACTCAAATATATGCTATTCCTTATAAAATATTATTATGGCTGAACTGTGCCTCCCATGCAATTAAATATACGAATGGGAATATCTAAATTAAGCGATCTCTGTGGAGTGGTGATGCTATATATTTTAATCGGATCATTGGAAATTTAATATAGAGTGAGCTAGGAAAGTACATTGGGAAGTTGACGGAAAATCTCGATTTTCCAAGATTTTTTTTTTAATAAATCTACTTGAAAAATGCGATTTAAAGGGATCTCTAATAAGATTACATATATCATACCGAATTCATCGAATTGTAAATAGTCTTGGCAATTTTGGAAAGTCAATTAATCCAATGCGTATAAACATATAAATAAATGTATAAACATAGAAATAATTGAATATTTAAAAGAAGGGTTGCTGTAAACAGAATGAATGAAATACCTGCCGATTATTCCCGTTGGTCCACCGGGACCCACGAGAACGCCATTATTGCCTTGATATGCTGGTACGAGCGGTCTGCCATTGGGATTGTAAGGGCCTGTATTCTGAGGTCTAAATCCTAACTGAAGGCCGTTGTTGAAACCATCTAAATATTCAGAAGGCTCGTATACCTGATACCTAAAAGTTGCATCAGCGAGAAGCTATTACCTAAATGTGCTACAAGTACATACAGATTTCCCTAAAGCTGACTGTCTGATTTAAAACCGACATAAATATTATACAATACTTTTTTTTTTATTTAAAAGTACTATTAATGTATAATTATGCAATTCTTCTTTCTATAAAAGATAGGATGCTGTAGCATCTTCTTCATGAAAAGAATGTGCTAACGAAAAATATATTTGGCACGAGATGTTATTACGTTTGTTGATGAAGTGTATAATTTAATCAATATGACAGGAGAAAAATATTCAATAATATAATAGATAAATAAAATTTAATAAAAAATTTGAATAAAGCATAATTACATATAAACGTGTAATTACATATTAAATATTGTTATGTAATAAATCATTGACACATACCTGGTATCGATGTCTCGGTTGATTTTTGGTTTATCATCATTCCAAGTCCAAGATTTATCATTTTCAGCGGTTGCTGTCGCGATCGCGGTGAAAAAGATCAAAAGAGAAACACGCATTTTTATTATTTGCCGAATAGCAGAATCAAGACATTTAATGCAATACATCTCAGTTAATATTGGCAGAAAAGAAAGACGTTTGGACACGCATAACATTCGAAGTCGACTAAACGAGAGTGAAAGTGAATCACGTCTTTATATATGCATTGTGGGATGGTGAACGCATCGCTACATTTCGAGGTCTTTTCAGTTGATAATTATCTGCGATCAATGGACTGTATTCCTTTGTTTTTAAGTAAATTATCTCAAAAATTCAGCTGTTTCACAATATGCAATATCATATTTTTTAATGAGTAATTCTTAGTAAAAATATGAATTCAAAATATTATGTTTTGAGTTTATAACTACAGATAATTGAAATTTAAATTATGCATTTATGTTTTCATAAACATTACTAATATTTAATAATTAATATTTTAGATTTGTATAATGCCGATTTATAAAAATCTTCTATGATCAATCTTCTAACTAGCAAATAATTTTTTCAAGTACTTAGCTTTTAATATATCTTATATTATGTAATATTTTATGATAACATATTTTTGTTAACTATTTTTTATTTGACATTTTACAATCATGACCTTTTCAATGCGCAAGATGACGTTATAAAAGAATATCGTTTTTTTTTTAAATAAATATTTTTATTTTCATCTTCTGCTAGGAATACTTGCTTGATTTTTTTCACATTCAGTAGAAGTGTTGCTTTAGCATGGAATCTTAACGTGAAAAGAATATTTTAAAAAATCTTAATTTTTTTGTAAAATAATAGTGAGTAATTCAAATGTTTATATAGTTTCTTGACTTCATGGTAAGTAAAATATCAACATAAATAAATAATAAAATTTAATCCAGAATTAAATTCGCCATAAAACTCAATCGCGAAATTACAATAAGCACACCAGCTGACTTACAAGCGTAACTTATTGTAATACGATGTAACGTTGGTAAATCCAATCAATTTTTGAGTCCGATTCCGTTCCTTCAAGCGTCCGTCCTTCGAACTGGGAAAACCCAGTTCTTCGACTCCGGAGAAGAGAAGTTACTTGGTTGGTAGCGTTAGTATGTACGCGCTCTTTGACCTCCTTCTTAAAGTAAAGTCGAGAGACACATGGCGTAACGTTAATTCCCGCATCTTGTCTTGCTCGACAGCAAAATTACCACCATTAAAGATTTTTAGCCTTCACTTTTGAGAAATACATCCTTTATTAAATTAAATTTGCCTACAAATCCGCGTCATATATATGTCAAATCAAAACTACAAATACCTACTACGAGTACCTATAAAATTATATTTTTATTTCGTTGCTAATTTATCTTGAAATTGTACTATTTTGTAATCGATATAAAAATTCTATTTTATTTTACTATATACATACACATATATGTATATATGTG